GTATGTATATTGTTACAAATTGTACTTATTCTTTATGCCCCTTGTCCAATCTTTCCCCATCTCTTTCTCCCTCCCCCACTCTCTCTCTAATTACCCTAGATTTCTTCTCTCCTTCTCAAAGAGCAATAGTTACTCTGTTGATTTGTTGCTTAGATGATCTGTCCAATGCTGGAAGGTGTGATCAGGTCCCCCAATATTATCGTAGAGCAGATGCTGCTTCTGTCACTCTGGAATGGGCTTTGTGGAGAGAGTCATCCTCTTCTTTTCTTTGGTCTCTGCTGGTGAATCTCCTTGTGTCAATGCTCTCCAGTGGCTGGCAGACCATCTGCATGGGAGTTGTGATGTCTAGCCACTTTTGCGGCAGCCATGGTTAATGTAGTGGCTGTGGTGGGCCACCCACATGGAGGTGATGTTTTGGGCTCCTTGGTGCTGGCAGCGTGCCTGGTTGTGGGCGGGGTTCCAGTTCCCAGCTCGATGCCCCAGGCCACCTGGTGGGGCCCCAAGGCACTGGTGGTGTGCCTGGGCTGGAAGTAATTTTTTGTTCTTTGCTTATTTCTAAAATGGAGGAACTTCCTGTGGGAACCAGCACTTGAGCTCTGTGGTTGAGCTAAATTGCTGCTTTGCTGCTGTTTTCCTAGGGAAGGCTTTTTTGTGCAGCTCAGGGTTTAATGGTTGACCTTATAGGTACCTCCAGCTCTCCAGAGACCAGGTGCACCTGGCTTGTGTAGAAACTGATCTGGGCCTGAGTTTTTTCATCAGACTGCACTCCATGAAATTCTGCATTCCCAGCCAGTCTCCTCTGAGTGGTCCTGTGCTGATTGGGGGCAGATGGGCTGTCCTTGCTGTGCCCCAGTGTTCTCCTGGTGGGCCTGTCTACCCCACCTCCCAGGCTCCAAACACTTCCCATGGGACGGGTCCTGCACCAGTCACTTGTGATGACTCACCAGCCTCTGAATGGCTCCCTTTTTTCAGTTGTTCTGGCTCCTTGCTCCTGTGTGGGTCCATGGGAACCCTATTAGTGGTCTTGCTGTCCTGTGGGCCACCAAGGCCCTCTTCTCCCCTGCCACCTCCAAGCAACGCCATCTGAAGGGCACAGCTGTAGCTTTTCCCGGCTCCTTCTCCATGCGCTTCTAAAGATACTATTTTTTTTTTAAATATAACTTCTGCTCATTCAAAAGGCTCCAATGGCTCATCTATGTCTCAGAATAAATGAAAATCCTCCATTCCTTGGGACCAGGCTGGCAACACACACACCCAGAAAATCCCCGCGTGCTTGACTGGCTGTGAGCTTTCTTGTATGTCACCTGGTCTTCCTCCTCTAGCCCATTGCCTAAATATTCAGATCTTGCTCATTCCCATCTTCTTTGTGAAGGTTTCCCTGATAATCCCAAAGATATTCTTGGGCTTCTCAGAATTCTTAAAATGGTTATGTCTGAAGTACTTTATAAAGTGTACACAC